GGGGAGGCAGGAGAGGTCTGCCGCCCTGTGGGTCACCTCTGGGGCAGGGTTAGAGCTTGCAGTGCTGCGCTTTAACCCCTGCGCCACCAGGGAGGGCCTGAGTGGGGAGAGTTTTTAAAGAGTTGTCCTTAAGTAGGGACCGTGCACTTTAGGCTGGAAGATGGCAGGGGAGGGGGTGGGGGGGGAGAGCGGGGAGAGGTGTCAAATGCCAGCTGCTCATCATGAGTGTCCTCAGGCAGTCTTTCCCCTTGGAACAGCGAAGCTTAACTCACTTACCTTCTGTATCACAACCCAACTGAGGGGGTTGAGCCCAGACACCAGAGTCCGATATGGAGACAGATCCCGAGGAAGCTGCTAGACAGCTCCATCTCAGTCTCCTCACCTGTACAGTGGAGACATCTCCCTATACGCCTGTGTCAGGAGAAGCACAGCACTCGGCACGTAGTGTGACTACACATTAGTCACTGTCATTTACGGTAGCCACGCTTGGGGGGGGCGGGGTAGGGGTGAGGCAAGAATATGAAAACAATTCAAGGACTGGAATAGGGTTCTGCTAGGAAGCAAGTGCCAAGTCATTCCAGGAGGGCTTCCTGGAGGTGGCGCTCTTAGGTGCTGTGTAAAGCACAGAAGGCGGCTTACAGAGAGCACACAGAACCTGCACAAAGTCAGGCAGGAGCCGGGTGATGGGTGCCATGTGGGGCAGGAGGCATTAAGCCTTGAATTTCTGTCTTCTCGTCCCCCAGGGACCAGGACAAGGGTATGGTGGAGGAGGTGAAGCTGCCAATGGATTCAACACCTTGGTGAGTAAAGCATCGCTCCATCCGGGCCGGGCCGTGGCCTGCAGCCCCTGGCTGTCCTTCTGCCGCATCACCCACCCAGCTTCTTGCAGACCAAGTGAGTTCTTCTTCTCTTTGCTTCCTTAGAATTCGCAGACATCTCCTGGGCTCTTCAACTTGGACACTTTCTGGAATGTGAGTTTTGCAAGATTGCTCTGCCCCCTCTTTCGGAAAACGAACCCCCTGTCCCTAACCTGCACAGGCGGACGGTGTCTTTCTATCACAGCCATCAGTGGGGACCTTGGCCCTCGCGCGTCCTGAGACCCTGAGCCAATCTGACCATTCTTTTTTGGTTTCTCTGCAGAATTTCAAATCCAAGCTGGGCTTTATTAACTGGGATGCCATCAACAAGGTAAGGGCCGGAAGACCAAGCCATGCCGGTCTTTGTACAGAGGGAACAAGGAAAGCTGATCCTCTGTTCTGTGAGCTGGGAGTCAGGGATGGTGGGTGCTAAGAGAACATTCTGGCCTGGGCTTATTAAGGGACAAAAAGGAGTAAGGACAGCAGAGTCCTGATAGGAGAGGAAGGACGTTGAAGGAGCTGGAAGTTCCGAGTGAGACATGTTCATGCCTCAACGTGAAAACCTTAGCAGGCCTGACCCTCAGTTTCCCCTTCCAGATCTGGAAGGTTGCGGCGGTGGAGGGAGTAAGTTGGCCTAATCCTTAGGGGGGAAGAAGCTGGGGATGACCCTCGAGTGGACTGGCACGGAGGGATCAGGGGTCTGATGATGGCCCTAGGCAGTAGTGGGAGCTGTGCAGACAAACCCCAAGGAAATGGGGCGGGGGGTGGGGCAGAAAGCAGAGCCCCTTTTTCCTTCCTTCCTACCCACCCCTTCTCGTGACGGGGAACTCCCGGAAGGAGTGGCACCTTCAGCATGAAGGGCTGGGTTGGAAGGCGGGGAGGGACTGACCACCAGTGCAAAGGGCCGCGATGCAACTGGCCACTCCCTGACGTGCGTGATCCCGCTGCGTCTCGCCCAGGCCAAGCTGCCCTGCCGGGCACAGCCATTCCAGCCAGCCTGGCCCTGGGGGGCAGCGAGCGGAGTGGGGGAAGGAGGGCCACAGCAGCTTGTGGGGTTTTGAGGAGGACCAGGGCTGGCGATGTGCCAGGAGGTGGAGGTGGACACAGCCCGGATCTCTGGAAGGAGGAAACCGGTCCTCCTGGGAACAAGGCGAGATGTGAAAGAGGGGCGGTGCAGCCCATGTGGGATGAACTTGGATGAACTGAGCGAGTAAGACATGGGTTTTGCTTTATAGTCTGCAGCCAGTGGGGAGACCCTGGGGGACTGAGGTTCTGCTCCAGGGATGAGGGCCATACACAGGCCAGGACAGACCTCCAAAGGCTTCTGCACCCCCAGGGGGGAGCCCTAGGGGTTTCTGGTTAGGCAGGCTTCCCCCTGGGGTGGCTTTCCCTTTGGAAGCAAGCAAGAGAGGCACAGAGTGGGGCTGAGAAGAGATTGGAGAGCCCCAGTGTCCTCCCAGCACGGGGATACCCTTACTCAGGAGCAGCTCACAGGGAGGCCTGCGACCTGGCCCGTCCAGGGCATTCAAGCCCGGATGGGAGTATCTAGATTTGATTGGATGGCAGCCCTAGGCCAAGAGGCCCTTGCAGATTTCTGGAGCGGGGGTCCGTTCTGCCCTGGTCACAGTCCCTTACTCCTGAGTGCCCAGTCCTTGGGAGGGGTTTGCTCAGGACCAGAGAGGCTGGCCTCTCTGTAACCCCCCCCCCCGACAAAGAACTGCCAGATGCAAGGAAATCCCCACAACCCCCTTTTTTTCCCCCACCCCTTCTTAAAATGTCCCATCTCATTACTAATCTCAGCCCTGGCCCCTGAAATAACCCTTCCTGCAGCGCCCTCGGGCCTCTGCTCCTTTCTTGTGATTCCTGAGGGTGAGCAAGGGGTGGCCTTGCCCGCAGCCTTGGGAGCTGCTGCAGGCCGCATGGCAGGGGCGAAGAGGGGAGCTCAGAGGCAGGTCCTGTTCTGCCAGTTCTGGAGAAACCGGGAGAGAGGGAGCGCTGAGCACACATGGGCACAGGGAGGCAGTGACGCCACAGTTGTAGTCTCTTCCCTTCTGTTTCCAAAGACAGTTTTCTGGTGTCTGCAGGACAGCCAGCTTCCTTCCAAACCTCAGTTGCGATGCAATAATGAAGGTTGAGAAATGGTGGGTGTGGGCCTGGGGGCTCAGCTGAGCGGGGGGTCATGTTCCTGGCTAACCTGTGCCCCACTTTTCTCCATAGGGCCAAGCCCCACCCCCCAGCACGCGAGCCCTCCTGTACTTCAGCCGACTCTGGGAGGTAGGAGCCGTCTCACTTTCTGACTTTTGGATGACCTGGTGAATCTGGCCATCCTGTCCCTCCCCACCTCCCTTGAGGAGACCACCCTTCGCGCCAGCCTCCTCGTCCGTCACCAAGTCCCCCTTTAAATGTTGAGATGGTCACCACACCCAAATCTTATCATCCAGACATCTCAGAGTCAGAGTCCCCTCATGCCAAACCACACCCGCCCCATGACCCATGACCTGTTCTTTCGCCTGACCTTGAGACATTCCCAAGAAGCTCCCCCCTCGCTCCCCCAGCCCCTGCCCTGTCTCTCCAGCCCACTCTTTCCTCCTTCTCCCTCCAGGATTTCAAGCACAACACTCCTTTCTTGAACTGGAAAGAAATCACTCAGGTAAGGGGGGGCATGACTTTTTGACCTTGTTTTGGGGCCAGGAGCCTCAGCGCCAGAGACAGGGGGCTCTGGCCCTTGCAGTGGCTGGAGTGTTCTGTCTCCGGCGCGGGTGCTCCGCACACTGGCTTCCCCTGGTGCAGTGCTGCCTGGGGATGGGGTGGTGGCGAGAAGCTGTGAGTGCTGGAGGAGCCGGGTGGGAGGAAGGGCACAGCCCCTCGCAGGCCCCGACAAGAAGCCAGCAGCCTCCGTCCTGCTGCTCCTCCCGCTGGGCATGGCCTGGTGCGGGGGCAATCGCAGCGGGGTGGGTAGCGCAGGGCGGCAGGCGGCGCGCACCCCGAGGCGGGGAAGGGTTCTGTGCGTGCGCGTGTGCGTGTGCGTGCGTTGTCTGTGCGCGCGTGCGTGTGCGTGCGTTGTCTGTGCGTGCGTGCGTGTGTTGTCTGTGCGTGCGTGTGCACGTGTGAGTGTGCATGTGCGCATGCGTGTGAGTGTGCACGCGCACGAGTGTGTTGCGCATGCATATGTGTGGGTGTGTGCACACGTGACTTGCACGTGCATATGCGTGTGCAGGCGCGCGTGTGCGGGGGCGCACGTGTGAGCATGCATGTGTGTATGTGTGCATGCACACGTATGTGCAGACGTACACGTGTGGGTGTGCGCACGTGCGGGTATATGTGCGGGTGTACATGTGTGCGCACGTGTGTATGTACACATGGGCACACGTGCATGTGTGGGTATGTGTGGGCTGCAGGTGTGTGAATGTACATACGTGCACACACAGGTGCACACGCACACACGTGTGCACATGAGTGCATGCATGTGGGTGTGCGTGTGTGCGCACGTGCTAGGCTGTGATGGTGACAGGAGCTACACCCGGGAACCAGGTCTTCCCTAGGCCTTAGAGTTGTCTCCTGACCTTGACGGAAGGAGGCAGCAGCCGTGTCACCAGCAGCTTCTGCTCCCAGCCCCCCGCCCCCAGCTAACCTAACACTCCCCTCTCGGCCTCTCTGGATACCAGTCTCCGTTTGTGACCAGGGCTTAAGGGCCCTGAGGGGAACAGGTCCTGGCGTGGGAGAGCCGTGGGCACCTTCTGGGCGGCCCCCTGTGCCCCAGGGGAGCCTGTGTGGGCAGCTCCTGCCCATCCCTCCAGCTCAGCCTCTGGCCAGGGCTGCCAAGCACACGGGTGGGGTGGCGTTGTCAAAGCCCAGCCTCCCCCGGCCTCCCCTGGCCTCCCCCGGCCTCCCCGGCCTCCCAGGCCTCCCCGGCCGCCCCCCAGCCTCCCGTCGGCAGTGCTGTGTGTGGAAATGTGTCCTGTATCTATCTGGACCATCGGTTTCCTCACCGCCTTCTCTGGAGGCCATGCCGGCCACGGACCGTGGACAGGGAGGGTGGGCACGTGGGAGGGCAGAGCCCAGGCAGGGCGCTGGAGCCCCGCAAGCCTGGCCAGGCCTGACGGACCTTGGGGCCCCCTAACGTGGCTCCCCTCTCCCTCCAGGGAGCCGAGGCGGCGTCCCTCCAGAAGCGCTCAAGCGCTTCAGATCAGGTGAGCCCCTGCCCTCAGCCTGCCCTGGAAGGCCTTTGTGCCTCTGCCTTGTTTCTGGTCTGGCCAACCGGAAATGCTTTCTCCTTCACACTCTTGTTCCTTCTTTTCTCAGGACAACTCAAGGGACAGTGACTCATCTGTGATTAGGGAGGTAAGTGATTTGCATCCCCCATCCCACAACGGTGTAGACTTCCTTTCTTTCTTTGGCCTGCTACCCTGAGGCGGCCCTGAGGGAAGGAAGAGGCTTTGGTGTCGGGACCATGGGACCATCGGTGGGTGTGAGGGGAGGGTGTGGACTCTGGTGACGGAGGAGAGTCTTGAAAACACAAGACTCAGGGGCCCTCCCTGGTGGCGCAATGGGTTGATGTGCAGCACTAGGGAACTTTAACCACAGGAGGAGCAACCACAGTGGCTTCAATCTGCTTCCATCTATTGATCCCCAGCCAGGGAGCTGACCCACAGGGCACAGCAGACCTCTCCTGCCTCCCCGCTGCTCCCCTCAGCAGTGTACTTCCTTGATCTGCCTGTTCTGCTCCCCACTCAGCCTCTGGTGACTCCTCTCACTGCCCCTGCACCTCTGGCCTGTACCCCAGTTCTGTGTGCATAAACAAATCAATCTCAAATAAAAAAGAATATTATTCTAGAGCAACAAATCTTCACCCCTCTCCTCTGCCCCCTCCCCAACCCCATGCACCCCTGCTGGCTTCCACAACACTATACTCACAATCTGCAGGAGAGCTCCACCCTCTCTGGCTCGCAGAATCCTGGCGAGAACAGCATCACGGTAAGACTTGCCACTGGTCCCTTCATAGGGTCTCCGCAGGGGGGCAAGGGAGGGAGTCTTCACTCCCAGGGTCCTTGAGGAAGAGTAGTAGAGACCCCCATCCTGTTGCTGAGGAAAGGCCCGCCTTCCCAGCCCTTTGTCTGAGGACACTCAGGCTCCCTGAGGATAAAAGATGCACTCAGCATGCAGGAAAGGGCCTGCCTCTGTCCAGTCAAGGGCTGGCCTGGTGGGGTGGGGGTGGGAACGAACTCTTGGTTGGTGGGAAAGAGATCACATCATTTCTTCATGGGAATAACAGGGGGCATGGGAGACTTTTGTTTCGTTCAGTGGCAAAGAGGGCAACTTGTCAATTTAGTAAATGAATGTGCTGACTACTCACTAGACTGGTGAAGAAAATACAGGTATTTCCCTCCATCTCTCAGAACAACAAAGCCCCTGCCCTCGGGAAGGAGACTTCTCCTGAGACACTGTCTGCTGACTGAAAGGAGGTGAAGATGCAGTTAATTCTCACTGTGGGTATCCGTTTGGCCAGAGTCCAAGCCCCTAGGAGGCAGAGGGAGGCCACCTTCCTAAGCTCTTTCCACTCACCCGGTCAACAGCATCTTGGGTAAAATGTATTCAGACGGTGAGTCTGCTGTGGAAAAATAATATTCCCCGGGCAGACTGTTCCACCACAGGTGGCTGAGCGCACGGTGGTCTGCCCCTGCCCTGCCACCAGACCCTTCCCGAGCCCTGAGGTCAGGGCAGGGGACAGGGAGGTCACTGTTCCCCCACATCACAATCTCGTCTCCTCTCTGCAGGTGCAAGCCTCTTGGATTGCTTCCTCCGTAAGTAGCTAAGAATGCGAGTAAGCCAGCTCCTGAGCAGAGCTGTGGCGCCAGAAGGCAGGGAGGGGCAACGCCAGCCCCCTTCAGCCTTGCTTCTTGTCCTGCAGGCCCCCCGGGCACAGCCTGTCCTCTAGCAGTGGGTGAAGTGTTCGTAGCTAAGTGTCAGATGAGCCTTGCAGGGCTCCACCCTGGAGCTTCGCCCTAGGCACCCTGGGGCCAGAGCCCGGATGCATCCTGGCTCTGCTTTTGTGCTGGGTGGATGCACTCTAGGATTTAAGGGGAGAAAGCCCCAGCGTGGGTATGGAGAGAGATGAGGGAAGGCCCTACCCCGAAAGCACCCTCTGAGGGCCCAGTGAAGGCCCGTTAGAGCGGGGACTGACAGGGACAGCGGGAGAAGGTGGCACTAGATTTAGGACAGGGGCGGAGAGAGGTGGGCCTCTCAGATGGAAAGGCCCCGAGGTAGGAGGCTGGGAGGAATGGAGGTGAGGACTCCTGGGGGGGCTGCCCGGTTTGTTTTAAGGAGGAGATATGTGGGGGGGGTCAGCTGAGAAATGAGGGCACGAGACAGTGCGGGGTGCCTGGGTACCCGGCGCAAACTCAGGAATGGCTACATTCTACCGTCTGCCCTTCTCTTTCCTTCTAGAAGATGACGTCCAGTGGGGACCGAGGCCCTGGGAAGCACCCCCGTAGGGAGCCTGGATGAGCCCCTCCCCCCGCCCTGTGCCGCCTGGTGGGGTGCCTGACACCTGCTTTTTCTAAGTGGGGGCCTGGTCTGCCTGTGTCTTGTTCCTTCCCGCCCTGTGGACCACGGGCCCTTTGGGCAAACCAGCCACTTTCTTCACCTACTACATTTTGTGACCTGAAGCCATGGTGATGATTCTTCAAGAGCCTCCTACTTTTGCATTTCTCTGTGGAAATAAAACATAAATATCATTTCCCTGCGAATGTCTCAAATTTTGTCCTTTATTATTATTTTAGCATTTATTTATTTTTGTGAAGAAGAACTGGGGTGCAGGCCCGAGGTGCAGGGGGTGAAAGGATTCACCAGAGACAGAGTGGGGAGCAGAACAGGGAGATGGATGAAGTACACTACTGAGGGGAGCAGCGTGGAGACAGGAGAGGTCTACTGTGCCCTGTGGGTCAGCTCCGGGGCTGGGGATTTAACTCAGGCTACCGGGGTGATAATGCTGAGACTTAACCCTTAGGCCAAAAGAGGCCTGAATTTTGTCCTTCAGTAGTGTGTTGATGGCCTGCATCTGGAATCTGAGGAGGGGTGGAGGTATATAATCTCCCTCCCTCCTGGGAGTAGCATAAACAATGATGGGCTGAGAATGATAAGACCTGGCTTGCGCTTAAATGGAGTAGCTGATTGATAGGTCTTCACCTCAGTTTCTCCATGTGCAAAAAAATAATCTTTGCCCAGCCGAGCTCTATATAATGAACTTGTAGAACTTGAGGTGGTTAGAGGTGTTTGGGTAGTGGCCTAAAAAAAGCAACAGGAAGCTATTCAAGTCAGAAGGTGGGAGGTCAAGAGACCTTTCAAAAGAGCAGGCAGCCACTGGGAGGGAGGGGGAGGTGGAGAAAGAGTCTTGGCCTGGTAAATGCACCCAACTGTGGATGAAGGTTGGACTGGGAAGGGTTGGTTGACATGTTTAGGAAGTTGGGGGCTGGGGTGGGTTAGGCTTATACCCAGGACGTCATACACAGGTGCTCTGCAGCTCCAGGGTCTGGGAGGGCTCCCCGATAGTGTCCCAAGGAGCCAGGTTTATCACAAGCTGCCCTTAGAGTCTCTGCGCCACAGTCCCAGCGAACGCTGCAATTTGCTCAAATGAAGGAAGCCCAACGTCCCTGTAGAACCAAGGGAGGAAAAGGACCAAGCGAAATGTGCTCCTAGCCCAAGTGACTCCCTCCTCAGGACCATGACCCCTGTCTGCCTAGGCCATTGTCCCACCCCCAGGGCCTCTGGCACATGCCTGGCTTGGGCAGGTTCAAACAGTTGAGGAAGAAATGCCAGAAACTTGGCCCAGAGTGGTCGTGAGGAACTAGTCTGAGGAAGCCCAGCTGCTGGGAGAAAGACCACGACTGCCGTGCCTCTTCTCATCGGGAGGCGACAGACAGAGCTGAAACTCGGGTGGGTCTCTGCCAGCCGCTGAGGGACTGCGGGAGAAGCCGAGGTGGTCAGCGTGGTTCTGGACTTGGCCGAGAGCACCCCTTTCAGGGTACGTGCCGCCTCAACAGGCCAAGGCCCTCTGTGGGAAGCGTTGGCTGATGAAGGACACATCAGGCTTTTCTCCACCTGGGCCTCTGACACAGCTCCCCACCGCGCGACCTTCATTTTCACCCTAAACCCCATTTTCCCATAACCACCAGGGAGGAGGACCTATTCAGAACCCACCATGAGCTTTCCACTCATTCCAGAATAAGAATCACGGCTCCTGCCTGTGCTTAGGGCGACCTGGTTCCCCTTCCCTATGTCCTCCTGGCCCTGCTGGGAAAGAGCCTGAGGAACTGAGTTACCTGCTCCCAGGACCCTGGGTCCTCAGAAGACTGGCAGTCACTGCTTTAGGTCTAAATCCCACGCCCCTCCCCGAGGTCGCCGAAGCCAGGACACCTGCCCGGTCACTGTCACATCATCCTGCTTTATTTTCTTCACCGTTTGCCATTCTCTGAAATGATCTGTGTCCTCGTTTTTGTGAGATTATGCTTTCTCCTCCCCTGGAACATCAGCTCCATGGAACAAGTACCTCGCTCAACTTCCGTTCCCACCAGCAAGCTCCAAAGTGGTTGTGCAGTAAATATTTGTGAATGAGAGAATGGAAGGAGGGTGCACCATGGAGTGGACCCAATCCAGGAAGTCTTCCTGGGAGAAGTTGCAGCAGCGGGAGCACTGGGACAGAAGGTGGGCGGCAGAGGAAGGAACCAGACCTGCCAGACAGCATGGCTGCTTGCTTGGGTGTGACGGTGGCAATGGCAGGGGAGGAAAGGAGTCTTACGCTCCGACTCCCCACGCTCCACCTCATCCCCCCCTCTCTCCAGGGATTCTAGGCTTCTCAGTAGGCGTCCCCCAAGGTGGGACCCTCGTGTGCATCCTCTGAAATCCTCCATCCTCTCCTGGACCCAGGAGGCTGGCCTCCAGTGCTAAGGTGTGTCTGCAGTGTAGCAATCAGGGCTGGGCCTTGCCTCCTACCCACACTCAAGTTCTGGCACATTTGGGCTGGGGAGGGGCAGGCCTGTGTGAAAACAGGGGTTCACTGGTATTCTCAGGAAGGAAGTGAGGGAATCTAGCAGACCCAGCTGGAGATGGGGTGATGCTGGGTTCTGGGACTCTTGTATTCCAGTTACCCTGATGTGATGTAGCCAGAATCTAGCTAAGACTCTTAGGCACATGCTCCCATACCCATTACTTGGATTCCTGGGACCTTCTTCTAATGAGGTCCCCATCCCCCTCTCCTCCCTCCTCTGCCCTACCACTGGACACTGGACCCTCAGGGAACACAAGTTCACTGAATTGAACAGCTTGGGGAATGGGAGGGAGCCTGGAGAGGGACATTAGAACCAAAAGTTAGCACTTATTCATCCATGGATGAATGGGGAAAGAAACTGTGGAATATGGACCTCCCTACTGGTGTAAGGGGCTGAGTCTCAGCAGTAAGAGCTATCTGCAGCATGAGTCCGATCCCTGGCCAGGGAGCTGACCCACATGGCACAGCAGACCTCTCCTGTCTCCCCGCTGCTCCCCTCAGCAGTGTGTTCCAGGTGATCCACCTGTTCTGCTCCCCACTCTGTTTGTGGTGAATCCTCACACATACCCCCAACCCCACCTCTGATCTACACCTCAGTTCTTGTATGCATAAATAAAATAAAATAAAATCGTGGAATATACCCACATCAGAATATTACACAGCTGTGAAAAAGATGAATAGTGGCATTTGGGGAAAATGCAAGAAGGTGATTATTTAAGTGAAATAAATAAAAAAAAAATGAAAGACAGTTATGGGGCTGGTCTCACTCATCTCAGGAATATGAATAACCAAAAAGCATTCACAAGTATACAGAGTAGGACTAAATCTTGAATTCAGTGAAAGAATATAAGGTTACCAGAGGGAATGGGGAAAAGGAGGGTTATAGGGAAAGGTCACCACAGGGAGTATTGGCAGAGGGTAAGAGTTTAGCAGAACACATGTATAGATGGACAAGCAAAAATATAAGCCCCAGAATTAAAACTTAAAACTAAATATAAAGTTAAAAAACAGGCAAAAATAAACAAAAAAATTAAACAACAACAAAACCCAACAACATTAGCACTTACATCACAGAAAACCGAAACCACCCTTGAAAGTCCATCAGGAAAGCACAAAACGGAAACAAACTGTGATCCCGGTCCTGCTGGTCTACCCCCAACCTTCCACCCCGGCCCCTGGTCTACCCCAACCTTCCCTGGCCCCTTCACCCCGGCCCCTAGCATAATAACAGAACTTCCTTGGTGGTGCGCATGGCTATTGGCTTGGGTCGGAGGCTTTATACAAAAGTACCTGTCTTTAAACACTAGAGCTAGACGATGTAAACCCACCCTTGGTGTGGCTAGACGCTCAATCCAGAAGTCTCCAGAAACGGAGACAAGCACAGGTTCATTCTGGGGCATGGACTCACGAAGTGCCAGCGATGTCTTGATTCTCCTTCCGCTTTGCCAGGATTTAATACCAAGTGAGCACACATACGCTTGGCGCTGTTGCCTCTGGCTGTGCAGCTTGCCCACCGGGGCGGGGTGGGGGGGTCTTCAGGCCGAGGTGGGGGCCGTCAGCTACCTGTGGCCTGGCCTCAGGAGAGATGAGGGCCAGGCCAAAGCCCTTGGACAGAGGACACCTCCACGGATAGAGGAGCAGTATCAGTGCAGACTTTGGAAGCCCAGGCTCGAGGCTGGCCTTGACGGCGTGACCTTGGGTCAGTGACCTGACCTGCTAGGCCATGGTCCCTGCGACAGAATGTGGGTAATCATAGCACCCGCCTCACAGCACCACAGCGATAGGAATGAGATCATGCATTTAGAGCGCTTAGCACAATGCCTGTCTCATAGCAGGCAGGCACCAATATATTGACTAACGTTATTATCAGCAGCATTAGCTTTAGGTGGAGAGGAAAACATGGACAAGTCAACAGGTGGCCAAAGACTCTGGAACCTACGCGATGGGGGTGTTTGCACCTGTTGCCCTGGGTCGCCCATGCCAACGTGTCCCTCCTCAGCACATCTAATTGGAGTTGATGATACAGTATCAGCTCTGCTTGTTGATTCTTCATTCCTTCCGCTCCTGGGGTTGACGACAGCGGACGGATTGTGGTTAATGAGCTCCTTCGGCCACTGTTAATTAACTACTAACAACTCATTGTGCCTAAAGACTTGTGTCCTCCAGAAAAGCATTTGGGAGATGACTGGCCGCCTCCTTTTTCACTTGTCCCCTCAGGTTGCACCGACTGACTGCACAGGCCACAAGCCACGTGGGCATCGTGCTTAGCGGCTGTTCTCGGGCACTGTTTCTGTGAGTGGCTTTGCCATCACCGAGACAATGGGAGTTTCGTGTGGCTGAAGAGGGACCGATGGTGGGGACTGGGGGTGTGGGCACAGCGAGGGGAAAGGACAGACGTGCCAGCTTCTTGGGCTCATTAAGATGGCTCAGCTGGCCCGAGCTTGTGCCCTCACGAGGTTGGGGTTCGGGGGCCCACTCTCAAAGGTCTTGCTTCTCTTGGCCATGCCAGCCCATGTCGCAGCCCCTCCCTGCTCCACCAGGAACCGGTCAGGCCACCTGAACCTCATTGTGGAGAAGGTCGCTTGATTAGGATGTTTTGTCACTTTGGGGTGACCCATCTGCCAAGCTGAGGAGGTGGGGTGAGCCCAGTGAAATGGAATAGCACCCAAAGTTCAGGACCCCGAGCTCCTTTGCAGCTGGCCATCTCGAAGACCTGTTTTTGCCTTTTTTATATTCCCTATTCCTGGTCTTTGCAGCTTCTTAGTTCCGAAGACCCAAGAGTAAAAGATGGGCAGCTGGATAATGAGGGGCCCGGCTCCAAGGCAGCAAGGGGTACACCTTGGTGGAAGGATGCTTGGATTCTGAGGTAGCCAAATGAGGAAAGGTGGGTTTCACCTGCACTCAGTGTGAGGCAGGGTCCTGGCGGAGGAGCCGGATGTCAGAGCTTAAGATATGTTCTGGCCTCGGGGAACTTGCTGTTCTGAGCGGGGAAACAAATTGATAGGACCATTCTGAGATGAGAAACATGGGGTTTGTTGGGGGTTGGGGGGTGCTGATGGGAGAAATCAGGGGACTCCATTTAAGGTGGATCCTGGCTTCTGAGAAGAGGAGACGAGAGCGTGTTAGGGATAAGGAGAAGCTTGGTTGATGGAAAGAGGGGGTGCCCAGTAAGGCGTTCAGTCGGGGCAGGGGTGAGGCGAGCGCAGACGGAGGAGCGCAGGAAGAAAGGCAGGTGCTGCCGGAGCGCGCCCACCCGGGGGGTCCCCATCCGGGCTGAGGAGCTGGAGTCCCACAGAATGGAGCAGGGAAGCAAAGCCCGGCTGAGTGGAGGAATGAAGGATGTGAGGGAAAGACCAGAGACAGAAGGAGAGGTTACTCGGTGCCATGGCCCCTCCCTTGGAGGGACGGGTCCAACCTGTCCTGCCCCAGCTCCGTTTGCAAGAGGAACCCCAAAGCCGGCTCAGCTTCGGAGAGCCTGGGGCCAGAATGTGAATTGAGAAATCAGAGGTAAGTGGGGAACAGTCCACACCTCCCCGTCCCAGAGCCCCGGGGGTGGGCGACAGGATCTGGGGGTGAGTCAGTGGGGTGGGAACCCCATTTCTGTGCACATCCACCTCCCGGGGAATATAAAGGGCCAGCAGGGAGGCCCCGCCTCAGAGCACCCCATACTTGACACCATGAAGATCCCAGTTCTTCCTGCTGTGGTTCTTCTCTCCCTCCTGGCCCTCCACTCTGCCCAGGGGGCCGCCCTGGGGAGCTCTGAGGTGAGCGGGTCACAGGCCTCCTTCGCTCCTGCCGTCCCTCCCTACCCAGTGTCTCCCCTTGTCACCTAAGTGGCTGTTTCGGCTTCTGCTGTTATCTGGGGCTCGGGCAGCTGGGCTCTGAGGACTGGCAGAAAACAGGCTGGGGGGGGTGGGGGTGTTGTGGGGTGAAAGCTGGAGGGCTGACTGCTGGGGGGATTCCCCACAACTGGACCTCTGAGGCTGGGGGGGGTGGGGGTGAGCCATGCTCTTGCTTTTGACTCCCACTGCTACATGGCTGCATGTTGAAGCTGA